CAACCATATGATTAGAGGGTTGTAACTTTTAGCCCCATCCCTGACCTCTAGGGAAGGGAAAGGCGTTAAAGGTTGAGTTAATCACCAATGGCCAATGATTTAACCAATCATTCCTGCATAATGAACTTCCATAAAAATCCTAGGGACTGGGTTCAGAGACCTTCTGGGTTGCTGAATGCATTTACTTGCTAGGAGGGTAGTGTTCTTCAACTCCACAGAGACAGAAGCTCCTGAGCTTGGGACCACCCCCCTCTTTTTTTTTTTTATGCTGGCCAGTACAGGGGTCTGAGCCCTTGATTTTGGCATTATAACACTGTGCTCTAACTGACTGAGCTAACCAGCCAGACCTTGTGATCCTTTTGAACCTCAATCTACATAACTATTCATGTGGCTCTCCATCTGTACCCTTTAAAATATCCTTTGTGGAGATGAATAGACATTTTTCAAAGGAAGACATACAAATGGCCAACAGGTACATGAAAAAGTGCTCAACATCACTAATCATCAGGGAAATGCAAATCAAAACCACACTGAGGTATCATCTCACCCCAGTAAGACTGGCAATTATTAAAAAGACCAAGAATAACAAATGCTGGTAAGGATACAGGGAAAGGGGAACTCTTCTACACAGTTGGTGGAACTATAAATTAGTATACCCGTTATGGAAAACAATACAGAGGTTTCTCAAACAACTACGGATAGAACTACCATATGATCCAGCAATCTCACTTATCCAAAGGAATGGAAAACATCAGGTTGAAGGGATACCTGCACTCCCATGTTCACTGCAGCTCTATTTACAATAGCCAAGATATGGAATCAACCTAAATGTCCATCAACAGACAACTGGATAAGGAAAATGTGGTATATATACACAATGGAATACTACTCAGCTGTAAAAAAGAATGAAATTCTGCCATTTGCAGCAACATGAATGAATCTGGAGAAAATTATGTTAAGTGAAACAAGCCAGACACATAAAGAGAAATATTGCATGTTCTCACTCAACTGCATGCTAAGAAAGAAAGAGAGAGAGAGAGGAAAGAAGGAAGAAAGGAAGGGAGGGAGGGAGGGAAGAGG